CAGATTTATGTTTTTGGCGGGAAAATCAAAGATTTACGGTTTTGGCGGGAAAATCACGAATTTACGTTTTTGGCAGGAAAATCACGAATTTACGTTTTTGGCCGGAAAATCACATATTTATGTTTTTGGCGGGAAAATTATGGATTTACGTTTTTGGCGGAAAAATCACGAATTTATATTTTTGGCGGGAAAATTGTGTATTCACATTTTTGGCGGGAAAATTAAGGATTATATTCAATCGGTTTAAGAGTTTTGGTTAGACTCAAATTGAAATTGGTTTAGAGATTTAGATTGGTTTAATTCAATTTAACAAAAGTTGATGGGTTAAATGGGTACACCATTGAAACCATTGACCCATTACAATCCAACTTATTTCATCCATCAACCCATTTGACTCAATGGCTCTGAATGGAGAAAGCGTATCAGGCGGAGCGGATCAAGCAGATCTGGCGGAACAAAAGCGGATCAAGCGGTTTGAACGCATTAAATTTGTGTTGAATGGTAAAAGCGGATCACGCATTGGGGGTGAAATATTTATATTGTAAAAAACGTTAATTTTAAATAAATTTTTTTACATAAACTATACATACTAAAAATAATTATATTAAAATACATTTGTAATACTGGTTTAACATATTATTATACATGTATTTAATATTTTATTATTTAAAAAAAAAATTGTTTTGTAATTGAATGAAAATGGTGAATGGCAATATAAAATTATTTTTTGAAAAGAAAAAGAAAAAGAAAAAATTATTTGTTATTTATGAGAATGAGAAGAAACTAAAAAATTAAGTACTTTTGGTAAATGAAGAAAGTGAATAATGCCAATGGAGAAGTATGATTTTAATTTAACTACCTATATTAATTTTAATAAATAAAAAAATATAATAACAAAAATAAAAAATGTTCATAGGCGGAGGAAACGCCTGGACCACCTCTTATTTGCAATGGAACATGATCCACAAAGTACAGCGTATTTTTACTCAAGTAATTGTACTGCAAGTGGTACATTAGTATTATATCATTTCTCAAAATGGAACGTTTTGTAATTGTTATATAATGCTGAATGGTGACTAGTGTGCGTATGATCTGCTCCACCGGAAGAACTGCTTTTTTCCCATCTCTCCATTCAAGCCCAATAACTCATTTGATCCATCAACTCATTTGAGTCAAAATTTTCAACTTATTAGGGTTCATGGGTTGAGTTGAGTTGAGTTGACCCATGAATCTTGACCCATTTTGACACCCCTAAACAAAACAAAGAGTCTAATAAGTGTTTCAGTTACAAAAACAAAGAATATGATGAACAATGAATTATTTAAATTTCTTGTCTGAAGAACTATATTAGGAGACTTGTATGTATAATTAAATGTTTAAGAACTAATACCCAAGAATATCCACATATAATTTTTTTTTGCCAAGAAGATCAACTTTTGAAATTTAAAAAAAAAAAGAGTGGTCAAAGAAAAAAAACAAGAGAATTAATATGAGTAAAGTTTGAATGTATATGGTAAATGAGGGGAATGAATATAAGAAAAGAAATTATGGGGAAAGAAGGGAAGAAGACACAAAGCCATGTGGCTGAATGGTAAATGTAGGCCTGGGCATTCGGATTTCAAATCGGATTCGGGTCGGATATATTCGGATTCGGATAATTCGGGTATGAGAGTTTATTATCCGTTCGAATTTTATGATTTTTCGGTTCGGTTTCGGTTCGGATATATTCGGATTCGGATAATTTGGGTAGGAGAATTTATTATCCGTTCGGATTTTATGAGTAATCGGTTCGGTTTCGGTTCGGATAGGTGTCGGATTCGGATCGGTTTTTGGGAAAAAAAAACTTAAAAATAGTTCAATGTTAATATAAATTGGTTTAATCTTACTAAAATTTAATTAAATTTTGCAAAAATATGTATAATTTTAACAAATATAACTAAAATTTTTCCGAAATCTAGGATATTTAGGATATTTTTGTTATTGCTATAAAATTACAACTAAATATAACTAATATTTTTGGATATATAATTTTTATTTCCGGTTTTCGGATATCCTTTCGGTTTTCGGTTCGGATCGGGTTCGGTTCGGGTAATTCGGATAGGAGAATTCATTATCCGTTCGGATTTTGTGACTATTCGGTTCGGATTCAGTTCTGGATTTTTCGGATCGGTTTCGGATCGGTTTTCGGATTTCGGATTTTATGCCCAGGCCTAGGTAAATGGGTACCACTTTTATTCATCTTCCAATTTGCCAGCCTGTCACTTTTGGGCTATCTTTTTTTCCTCTTTATGTTTTCTATTTTTATTTTCATTTCATATTCAAAGTTACCATTGATATGAAAGTTCACTTTTGTTTTTACTTTCTGACATGAGTTAGTTTTGATAATAATGTTTCTGAAAAAGATAAAATATTACATGGGTCAGTAATTATTAACATTTGAATATAACCAAGAACTCAACATAAACCCAATTATCCTAAATTCTTTAAGACTTACTTGCTAAAAAACAGAATCGAATTCTAGCCGGATTTGGTTCGAACTCAAAATTGCTAGTACATTGACTATGATTTTGCAGACGTTGACATCAATAACAATCGCGTTGAGGAAAATTGTGTGAACGTCGATATCGAGACGAGGGACTGTGCCAGTATGACATCGACGCAAAACGTATGAACCAGGGATCATCCCAACATTAACGAGAAATAGCATCGACGAACAACGTCAGACACAACCACACATTTTGTCAACTCTAAAGTAAGAATAACAAACCTATTTGAATGATCAAATCAATGGTTATAGTACTCATTACTCAAGTCGTGTGTTTAGGCATGCTTTCAGCAATTGCTAGTGCATCATTATCTAATTTGCTAGTGCATAATCATCTGATTTGTCGCGAGAGTGCCTGTAGCAAAAACTGTTTAGCTTCAATGTCTTTTTTAGCCGTGGACAAGATTGGCCTATAGCTTTCAAATTCTGTTTCAGCCATGAATATTAAGACCTCGAGCTATTACTATTAATCTAATCCTTCTAAACCGGACAAGAAGGCGGTATTTTTATAAAGTTTGTGAACTTGCGCTGAAAGAAACATGTTAATTCTGTGCTTACTCTGACGGGAGAATTTACACGCTCAAAAGCTACACTACAGTAAAGAGGAAATGAAAGTGGTGAAGACCATGCATCGTTTCAGCAATCGCTAGAGCAATCTCATCGCCACAGTCCACGTAACCCATGCCGTTAAGCTTCAACTGCCTTATCATCAACGTCCTTAGATTTGGACAAGACTTGCCTACAGCTTTCAAATGATCTCCAGAGATAAACGAGTGTGTAACAACCTCGAGTTCTTCAAGCAATGGGAGTTTCACAACTGCTTTGAAAATCCCAAAACTCGTTATCCCACCACAGTTAACAGCTCCAAGGCGTCTAAGATTACTTGATCTGCAAATAACATGATACTCACAATGGAACAAACACAATTTGGGGCAAATTCGTATCATTCAAACCCTAATTTCCTTACTACAATTGAAATCAAGTCAACAATTCAAAAATTTTCATCAAAATTTGCTTTGCTGGTGAGTTTTAGGGATTTGAAAGAACCTGTCGGCGATGTAGGAGATGTTGAAGGTTGAGTCTCCGATTGAACCTGCAATTGAGAAAGAGAAGATGATTAAGAATCAAAAGAATTACAGTGAGGAGAAGAAGAAGAAGAAACTTGGTTGAAGAAGAAGAAAAGCGTCGAAGACGAAGGGAGTCAAAGAAGAAGAAGAAAAGTCAACAAAAAGATTATGGGCTTAGGGTTGTTTTTAGTAATGGGCTCCGAATAAACTAAGGCCCAAATGAAAAGAAAGAGTGTGTTGTTGTCTGAGCTAAGTACTAAGTTAGAAGAGGGTGTTAGGTCTCAACAGTTAAGAGTGGTTGGAGTCTAATGATGGAGTGGATTGCTTGTGTAAGTGAATCTAGATTGTAGAAGTAAGATGAGAGAGTAAGGGTAAGTGAGTAGCTACTAGCTAGTGAAAGAAAACTTGTATAAGTATGTTTATGTGTGTGTCCTTGTAATAAATGGAAGTATGAATGAAAAATCTTAAAAAAGAAAGAGAGAGTTTAAGAAAACCTGAGTAAAATTTGAGAATTGCAACATGGTATCAGAGTACACTTGATCTTGGAGCCTGTTCAAAGAAGAAGAAATAAGGAGGCAAAGAAGAAGCCGTAAGAAGAGAAGAGAAGAATGACACTTACCTTGCAATCTTCACAACTTGTTGCTGTTTTTGATGGACAGAACTATGAGTTCTGGGCAGCAAGAATGAAAACAACCCTGATGAACAAAGATCTGTGGGAGGTAGTAAAAGATGGAGTTCCAGATCCGGGATCTCAGTCACCAGAGACTCCAGGAGCAGACAAGACCAAAGAAGCTGCAAACTTGAAGGCACTCAAAGCTAAGGATACTGCTGCTCTTCAAATTCTTCAACATGGAGTGGCAGATGTGGTGTTTGACAAGATTCTCTCAGCAACCTCAGCACATCAAGCATGGAAGCTGCTAGAGCACTCCTATCAAGGTAATGAGAAAGTTAAAACTGTTAGACTTCAGTCTCTAAGAAGAGAGTTTGAGAATCTGAAAATGAAAGAAGGGGAAAAGGTTAAAGCTTACTCTGATAGGATTCAGGCTGTAGCAAATCAGATGAGGGCTCTAGGTGAAGGAAAATCAAACTTTGATTTAGTAGTGAAAATGCTGGCCTCTATGCCAAAGAGTTATGCTGGTCTGTCATCTTTAATGGAAGAAACAAAGGATCTAATGACAGTTACCTATGCTGAGCTGGTTGGATCTCTTGAGGCACATGAGAAGAAATTCTTTCCTGAGGATGAAGAAGAAGCAGAAGGAGCCTTCCATGCACATTTCCGAAATCTGAATGTGAAGAGCAAAAATAAGGAAAACCAAGGTCAGTCAAGTTACAGAGAAAAGAGGTGGTGTGATTACTGTAAGCTATGGCCACCATTACTCAATAGTTAAGAGTGGTTGGAGTCTAATGATGGAGTGGATTGCTTGTGTAAGTGAATCTAGATTGTAGAAGTAAGATGAGAGAGTAAGGGTAAGTGAGTAGCTACTAGCTAGTGAAAGAAAACTTGTATAAGTATGTGTATGTGTGTGTCCTTGTAATAAATGGAAGTATGAATGAAAAATCTTAAAAAAGAAAGAGAGAGTTTAAGAAAACCTGAGTAAAATTTGAGAATTGCAACATGGTATCAGAGTACACTTGATCTTGGAGCCTGTTCAAAGAAGAAGAAATAAGGAGGCAAAGAAGAAGCTGTAAGAAGAGAAGAGAAGAATGACACTTACCTTGCAATCTTCACAACTTGTTGCTGTTTTTGATGGACAGAACTATGAGTTCTGGGCAGCAAGAATGAAAACAACCCTGATGAACAAAGATCTGTGGGAGGTAGTAAAAGATAGAGTTCCAGATCCGGGATCTCAGTCACCATAGACTCCAGGAGCAGACAAGACCAAAGAAGCTGCAAACTTGAAGGCACTCAAAGCTAAGGATACTGCTGCTCTTCAAATTCTTCAACATGGAGTGGCAGATGTGGTGTTTGACAAGATTCTCTCAGCAACCTCAGCACATCAAGCATGGAAGCTGCTAGAGCACTCCTATCAAGGTAATGAGAAAGTTAAAACTGTTAGACTTCAGTCTCTAAGAAGAGAGTTTGAGAATCTGAAAATGAAAGAAGGGGAAAAGGTTAAAGCTTACTCTGATAGGATTCAGGCTGTAGCAAATCAGATGAGGGCTCTAGGTGAAGGAAAATCAAACTTTGATTTAGTAGTGAAAATGCTGGCCTCTATGCCAAAGAGTTATGCTGGTCTGTCATCTTTAATGGAAAAAACAAAGGATCTAATGACAGTTACCTATGCTGAGCTGGTTGGATCTCTTGAGGCACATGAGAAGAAATTCTTTCCTGAGGATGAAGAAGAAGCAGAAGGAGCCTTCCATGCACATTTCCGAAATCTGAATGTGAAGAGCAAAAATAAGGAAAACCAAGGTCAGTCAAGTTACAGAGAAAAGAGGTGGTGTGATTACTGTAAGCTATGGCCACCATTACTCAACAGTTAAGAGTGGTTGGAGTCTAATGATGGAGTGGATTGCTTGTGTAAGTGAATCTAGATTGTAGAAGTAAGATGAGAGAGTAAGGGTAAGTGAGTAGCTACTAGCTAGTGAAAGAAAACTTGTATAAGTATGTGTATGTGTGTGTCCTTGTAATAAATGGAAGTATGAATGAAAAATCTTAAAAAAGAAAGAGAGAGTTTAAGAAAACCTGAGTAAAATTTGAGAATTGCAACATGGTATCAGAGCACACTTGATCTTGGAGCCTGTTCAAAGAAGAAGAAATAAGGAGGCAAAGAAGAAGCTGTAAGAAGAGAAGAGAAGAATGACACTTACCTTGCAATCTTCACAACTTGTTGCTGTTTTTGATGGACAGAACTATGAGTTCTGGGCAGCAAGAATGAAAACAACCCTGATGAACAAAGATCTGTGGGAGGTAGTAAAAGATGGAGTTCCAGATCCGGGATCTCAGTCACCAGAGACTCCAGGAGCAGACAAGACCAAAGAAGCTGCAAACTTGAAGGCACTCAAAGCTAAGGATACTGCTGCTCTTCAAATTCTTCAACATGGAGTGGCAGATGTGGTGTTTGACAAGATTCTCTCAGCAACCTCAGCACATCAAGCATGGAAGCTGCTAGAGCACTCCTATCAAGGTAATGAGAAAGTTAAAACTGTTAGACTTCAGTCTCTAAGAAGAGAGTTTGAGAATCTGAAAATGAAAGAAGGGGAAAAGGTTAAAGCTTACTCTGATAGGATTCAGGCTGTAGCAAATCAGATGAGGGCTCTAGGTGAAGGAAAATCAAACTTTGATTTAGTAGTGAAAATGCTGGCCTCTATGCCAAAGAGTTATGCTGGTCTGTCATCTTTAATGGAAGAAACAAAGGATCTAATGACAGTTACCTATGCTGAGCTGGTTGGATCTCTTGAGGCACATGAGAAGAAATTCTTTCCTGAGGATGAAGAAGAAGCAGAAGGAGCCTTCCATGCACATTTCCGAAATCTGAATGTGAAGAGCAAAAATAAGGAAAACCAAGGTCAGTCAAGTTACAGAGAAAAGAGGTGGTGTGATTACTGTAAGCTATGGCCACCATTACTCAACAGTTAAGAGTGGTTGGAGTCTAATGATGGAGTGGATTGCTTGTGTAAGTGAATCTAGATTGTAGAAGTAAGATGAGAGAGTAAGGGTAAGTGAGTAGCTACTAGCTAGTGAAAGAAAACTTGTATAAGTATGTGTATGTGTGTGTCCTTGTAATAAATGGAAGTATGAATGAAAAATCTTAAAAAAGAAAGAGAGAGTTTAAGAAAACCTGAGTAAAATTTGAGAATTGCAACATGGTATCAGAGCACACTTGATCTTGGAGCCTGTTCAAAGAAGAAGAAATAAGGAGGCAAAGAAGAAGCTGTAAGAAGAGAAGAGAAGAATGACACTTACCTTGCAATCTTCACAACTTGTTGCTGTTTTTGATGGACAGAACTATGAGTTCTGGGCAGCAAGAATGAAAACAACCCTGATGAACAAAGATCTGTGGGAGGTAGTAAAAGATGGAGTTCCAGATCCGGGATCTCAGTCACCATAGACTCCAGGAGCAGACAAGACCAAAGAAGCTGCAAACTTGAAGGCACTCAAAGCTAAGGATACTGCTGCTCTTCAAATTCTTCAACATGGAGTGGCAGATGTGGTGTTTGACAAGATTCTCTCAGCAACCTCAGCACATCAAGCATGGAAGCTGCTAGAGCACTCCTATCAAGGTAATGAGAAAGTTAAAACTGTTAGACTTCAGTCTCTAAGAAGAGAGTTTGAGAATCTGAAAATGAAAGAAGGGGAAAAGGTTAAAGCTTACTCTGATAGGATTCAGGCTGTAGCAAATCAGATGAGGGCTCTAGGTGAAGGAAAATCAAACTTTGATTTAGTAGTGAAAATGCTGGCCTCTATGCCAAAGAGTTATGCTGGTCTGTCATCTTTAATGGAAGAAACAAAGGATCTAATGACAGTTACCTATGCTGAGCTGGTTGGATCTCTTGAGGCACATGAGAAGAAATTCTTTCCTGAGGATGAAGAAGAAGCAGAAGGAGCCTTCCATGCACATTTCCGAAATCTGAATGTGAAGAGCAAAAATAAGGAAAACCAAGGTCAGTCAAGTTACAGATAAAAGAGGTGGTGTGATTACTGTAAGCTATGGCCACCATTACTCAACAGTTAAGAGTGGTTGGAGTCTAATGATGGAGTGGATTGCTTGTGTAAGTGAATCTAGATTGTAGAAGTAAGATGAGAGAGTAAGGGTAAGTGAGTAGCTACTAGCTAGTGAAAGAAAACTTGTATAAGTATGTGTATGTGTGTGTCCTTGTAATAAATGGAAGTATGAATGAAAAATCTTAAAAAAGAAAGAGAGAGTTTAAGAAAACCTGAGTAAAATTTGAGAATTGCAACATGGTATCAGAGTACACTTGATCTTGGAGCCTGTTCAAAGAAGAAGAAATAAGGAGGCAAAGAAGAAGCCGTAAGAAGAGAAGAGAAGAATGACACTTACCTTGCAATCTTCACAACTTGTTGCTGTTTTTGATGGACAGAACTATGAGTTCTGGGCAGCAAGAATGAAAACAACCCTGATGAACAAAGATCTGTGGGAGGTAGTAAAAGATGGAGTTCTAGATCCGGGATCTCAGTCACCAGAGACTCCAGGAGTAGACAAGACCAAAGAAGCTGCAAACTTAAAGGCACTCAAAGCTAAGGATACTGCTGCTCTTCAAATTCTTCAACATGGAGTGGCAGATGTGGTGTTTGACAAGATTCTCTCAGCAACCTCAGCACATCAAGCATGGAAGCTGCTAGAGCACTCCTATCAAGGTAATGAGAAAGTTAAAACTGTTAGACTTCAGTCTCTAAGAAGAGAGTTTGAGAATCTGAAAATGAAAGAAGGGGAAAAGGTTAAAGCTTACTCTGATAGGATTCAGGCTGTAGCAAATCAGATGAGGGCTCTAGGTGAAGGAAAATCAAACTTTGATTTAGTAGTGAAAATGCTGGCCTCTATGCCAAAGAGTTATGGTGGTCTGTCATCTTTAATGGAAGAAACAAAGGATCTAATGACAGTTACCTATGCTGAGCTGGTTGGATCTCTTGAGGCACATGAGAAGAAATTCTTTCCTGAGGATGAAGAAGAAGCAGAAGGAGCCTTCCATGCACATTTCCGAAATCTGAATGTGAAGAGCAAAAATAAGGAAAACCAAGGTCAGTCAAGTTACAGAGAAAAGAGGTGGTGTGATTACTGTAAGCTATGGCCACCATTACTCAACAGTTAAGAGTGGTTGGAGTCTAATGATGGAGTGGATTGCTTGTGTAAGTGAATCTAGATTGTAGAAGTAAGATGAGAGAGTAGGTCATCTAATAAATGACTGCAAACTCAAGAATGGAGAACAAGCTCAAGTTACTCAAGAAGACAACGAAAAAGAAGAAGAAGAAGAAGAAACCTACCATATGTTCACAGCAAGACAAGAGGATGAAGAAACACTAGAAGAAAATGTCTGGCTCATTGATAGTGGATGCACAAATCACATGACCTCACATGAGAAACTGTTCATTAACCTCAACACAAGCTTCAATGTTCCTATCCATGTAGGTAATGGAGCTGTTCTGACCACAAAGGGAAAGGGAGACATTGAAATCATGACAAAGAAGGGCAAGAGAATGATCAAAGATGTTCTACTAGTTCCAAAGATTGCCAAAAATCTCTTGAGTGTCTCTCAAATGATTGAGAATGATTATGAAGTTAACTTTGATCAAAATGGTTGTACCATTCATGATCCCGCTGGAAGGAAGATAGCTGAGGTGCCAATGATCAAAAAGAGTTATCATCTTAAGATGCCAGAGAATGAAGAAGCAACAATGGTTGCTGCAAAAGAAAAGGTGAAATCATGTTGTCAAGGAGCTGGAGACACTAAAATTGCAAATCAAAAAACGCTGCAACCTTGGTGTACTAAGAAGAATGTTGAAAACAAAAACAAATCTGTGATGTATCAAGCTAAAAAGCATGGAGATAAAGCTGTGAAGGGAAAATCAGTGATTGAAGTTAAGAACCAGAGAAATTCTGAAACTGGAAAAGAAGAAAACAAAGTTAGAGAAGTCAAGGATGTGAGTCCAGAAAAAAATCTGAAGAAGATGGTGTTAAACAGAGACACGATGGAGAAAATTGAAAGCTCACCTGAGATTAAGAGGGAGAAAAAGTGGACTAGAGAAGAAATCTGCAAAAGGAAGGCAGAGAATGTTCAAGAGACAGAGACAGAGAAAAAGAAGCAAGCGTCAAAGTTCAAAGGGTTTGGAATTCAAAATTTGGAAACCATTTGCAAGGGTGAAATTAAAAACAAGGAAGAAGCAAAGGGATTACCTCCGGTTGGAAAAACGAACGTCATCAAGATTGGAGACATGAGCCTTCATCCAGATTATGCCATCAAGTTTGGCGACATAAATTTCCATCCTGATTATCTGCAAAAGAAGATCAAAGTGAGTCCAACTGAGAATGAAGCAAACGAGAACAAGACTGAGAAGAGAATTGTTCAAGAGGGAGCAACAAAAATTGAAAAGGGAAAAGCCGTTGAATCCACTGGGATTGAGAGCAAGAGGGAGACTGAGAAATCAAGCTCACCGATGACTTATGCCGACGTCTTGAAAAGCTCGCATCCGATCAAGCGAAAAGGAACCAGCAGTGGCGAAGGGAAGATATCAAGATTCAAAATCCTTGTTGGGGTCAGATTCCATCCTTTGGCGCCGAGCCAGACTTAGAACACCTCGGGAGTTTTACAGAGATCACCTCGGGATATCGCATCATCCACCTCGGGTTATCCACCTGATCAGCCAAGGGTAGCCGAGCCCATCATCTTGTAGTATCCGAGCCCAGTCGCTTCGGGGTACCCGAACCCATCGCCTCGGGGGTACTCGAACAAGACATCAGGGGTATCCGAGCCCATCGCCTCGGGGGTACCCGGACACGACATTGGGGATACCCAAGTCCAATCGCCTCGGAGTGCCCGAGCCCATCGCCTCGGGGTACTTGAACAAGACAGCTCGGGGTACCCGAGCTAGTCTCTCCTGTATACCCGAGCCGATTGCACAAGTTCTCCGAGGCGAAGTCTTCATCATCACCTGAGGCAAAGACTTGATAAATATTCATCTTCAAAGTATCATTTCCAAGCAAGGCGTCATTTCCGATAGACCTGGAAATGATAAAGGAGAATCTCGAAAGATCAACTCAAATCAGGAAAACTTCCGAAAAACCCCGAAGAATAAGGAAACTATCCTAATCCGCGATATTCTGAGCCGACTTCAAGATAAATGGAAATCTTCCGAGAATATCGCTGGAGAGGCGGTTTATCACCCCTATATAAAGAGATTCAAGGCTCTCGCAGAAAGCAAGGAATATCGCTCTAGAATTTACACTACACAAAGCTCTCACAGCACAATCATCTTTTTCTTTTACGATCAAACTCTTGTACGATCAAAGTCATCTTTTTCTTAATAATATCAAGAACACCATCTTTGGTATCAATTGATTCTGTCGTTCTTTGAGAATTCTCTCAAATCGTATCCCTAAATTAAAACCCTAGACAAATCTCGATTGTGTTAGTTTCGACTTCCACAGTTTGGCGCCGTCTGTGGGGATATTTTAGAATTCTCTTACCCTAAGACGCAGAATTCGATTACCGAAAAGGACGATGAACGAAGACGGTCGTCAGACACCACCAGCTGGAGGAGGGAACCCGGACCCTCCGAACCCTCAGAATCCTCAAGCCGATCCGACGATCATAGCGACTCTAGCCGAACTGAAAGACCTGATGGTTAAATTACAGAAGAAAGCTGACGACCAAGAGAAAGCTAACAAAACCTTGGCGCAGCGAGTCGACGAAATCGCAACACGTGGGCAACAAAAAACCACGCGTTTCCAGACTCGGCTGCCACGAGCTCGGAGGGACTTGCCTGGCATCAACCCAACATGACTCACGTTCGCGACACCAACCGACAACACCAGAGTCGCAACCCGAGCCGACCCTGCCAGACGCGAGAACCAAGATGATCCCACCGAGCCAGACGCAGTGGACGTGACGGACGAGCCAGATGATTTGCAAGACGAGCGCACCCGAGCCGGAGCTAACTCCGCCGAGCAAACGGACCTTACTGATGACGAAGAAACTGAGGAAAACATAAGGTGGGCCGAAGAATCCAAAAGAGAAGACGAGCTAAGCAAGATCCGAGCCTCCCTAGCCAAGGCGGAAGCTGATATGAAGCTCGTCAAAACCCAGATACATAGCGTTTCATCCTCCGCACCGAACATCGACCGAATTTTGGAAGAATCTCGGAATACGCCTTTCACCAAAAGAATTTCCGAAACGACGATGTCCAATCTGGGAAAGTTCAAAATCGACTCTTACAACGGATCAACTGACCCGAAGTGCCACATTAAATCGTTCGTGATATCTGTGAAGGTTCAAGCCCGGGGAAAAGGATGCAGGTCTATGCTTACTGTTCGTGGAACACCTCAAAGGACCGGCATTAGAGTGGTTTTCAAGATTGGAACGAAACTCGATTGACAGTTTCGACGAGCTGTCGACACTGTTCCTCAAGCAATACTCCGTGCTCATCGACCCCGGAACCTCCGACGCGGATCTGTGGTCCCTGTCTCAACAGCCCACCGAGCCGTTAAGAGATTTCCTCACAACCTTCAAATCGACGCTAGCCAAGGTCGAAGGAATTATAGATGTAGCCGCTCTTTCGGCTTTAACGAAATCTCTCTGGTACAAGTCAGAATTCAGGAAAGAGTTGAACCTGTCTAAACCGACAACAATTCGCGACGCGCTGCATCGAGCCTCGGATTTCGTCGCCCACGAAGAAGAGATGGCGCTGCTAGCAAAGAGGCATGAGCCAACGAAACAGGCGCCCCGAGCTGAGAAAACCGAGAAAGCCCAAGCGACACCTCCGGTCCAAATGAAGACACGTGAGAGCGGTACGTATACGCATCACCAGATTGACACGCCCCGAGGCCGTGGCCGCGGTAGAGGCCGAGGCCGTGGGAGAGGAAGAGAGTCCTTCACCTGGACAAGGGATCAGCCACCGAACAATGATCAAGAATATTGCGAACACCACAAAATTTTCGGCCACCATACCTCGAGATGCCGAAGCCTCGGAGCTAAGTTAGCAACCAAATTCCTAGCTGGAGAGCTCGGGACGAACGTCACTCTTAAGGATCTCGAGCCAGAGCCAGAGCCCGAGCAGACCAACCCGGGAAGAGACCCCGAACCAAGGAACCAGGAGTCTCAGAAAAGAACCCGGGGGTCGGAAGACGAAGACCGAGATGGTACGCGGTAGAAGGTTCTTACCATAATGGGTGGATCGCCATATTGTCCTGACACCGTAGCGGCAATCAAAGCTTATCAACGCCGAGCCGAGACGCCTAGCAACTGGACAAGACGCTTCGATCGACCTAACGACGTGATCACATTCGAAGAAAGCGAGACAAACGGGCTCGACATGCCTCATAACGATCCAATCGTCGTCACATTAGCGATAGGAGACCATGATATTTACCGAGTATTAATTGACACCGGCAGCACCATCGACGTAATCTTTCGCGAAACGCTCCGACAAATGAACATCGACATGTCACAGGTGATTCCGAACCCGAAGCCTGTCCTCGGATTTTCAGGGAAACTTTGATGACGCTTGGAACCATCCAACTACCAGTCCGAGCCGGCGGGGTAACAAAGATAGTCAACTTCTCAGTCACCGATCAACCTACCATCTACAACGTCATAATGGGAACTCCGTTGTTAAATCTAATGCGAGCTATCGCATCAACATATCATATGTGTGTCAAATTCCCGACCCCCAATGGCGTGAAAATGATCTGGGGCAGTCAGAAAAATTCTCGGATGTGTTTCATGGCAGCACACAAACTCCGAAACCCTGTCACTGAAGCGAAGGCTGAAACCGATCACAAGAAATCAAAACTTGGCCGGAGTGAAGAGAAGGCTATATCTAAACAGTTATAGCAATTACAGATCGAGGAGGCGCGCAAGGAGAAGATGCCTACCTCGGATCCTATAATCTCCATTAGCCTCGACGACGAACGGCCCGAACGATGCGTGGAAATTGGCAGCGACTTAACCGAGGAAATCAAGACCGAGCTCATCTCATTCCTCAAAGAGAACATCAACACCTTCGCCTGGTCAGCTGAAGATCTACCTGGGGTAAGCATCGACGTAATCTGCCACGAGCTGAATGTTGACCCATCTTTCAAGCCCATCAAGCAGAAGCGAAGAAAATTGGGTCGGGATCGCGCAGATACCGTGAACGCCGAAGTAGAAAAGCTCCTGAAGATCGGCTCGATCTCCGAAGCAAGATATCCGGACTGGTTAGCAAATCCTGTCGTGGTTAAAAAGAAGAACGACAAGTGGAGAGTCTGCGTCGATTTCACCGATCTGAACAAAGCTTGCCCTAAAGACAGTTTTCCGCTCCCACATATCGATCGCTTAGTGGAAGCAACCGCGGGAAATAAGTTGCTATCATTCACGGATGCTTTCGCAGGATACAATCAGATTCTCATGCACCCCGACGATCGCGAGAAGACAACATTCATCACAGACCGAGGTATCTACTGTTACAAAGTCATGCCCTTCGGACTCAAGAATGCTGGCGCAACGTATCAATGGCTCGTCAACAGGATGTTCTCCGAGCAGCTCGGAAAGACGATGGAAGTTTATATTGACGACATGTTAGTCAAATCCCTTGAAGAAAGCGATCACATAGCCCATCTACGCGACTGTTTTTGCCAGCTCAACAAGCACAACATGAAGCTCAACCCGGCAAAATGTCGTTTCGCGGTAAAGTCGGGAGAATTCTTGGGATATCTCGTAACTCACCGAGGCATCAAGGCAAACCCGAAGCAAATCGATGCTCTACTGAATATGCCCTCACCACAGAACAAGCGCGAAGTCCAACGTCTCACCGGGAGAGTCGCAGCCTTGAACCGATTCATCTCGCGGTCCACTGACAAATGCCTGGCTTTCTACGATACTCTACGCGGGAACAAGAAATTCGAATGGACCGATCGCTGCGAAGAAGCTTTCCAGGAACTGAAGAAGTATTTGGCTAATCCACCGGTGTTGGCGAAACCAGTCCCGGGCGAGCCATTATTTCTGTACATCGCAGTCTCTGATACGGCGATAAGTAGAGTCATAGTCAGGGAAGACAGAGGAGAGCAGAAGCCGATATTTTATGTCTCGCAAACTTTCACCGACGCGGAAACACGCTACCCGCAAACGGAAAAGCTCGCCCTCGCAGTAGTAATGTCAGCTCGGAAACTACGGCCATATTTCCAGTCTCACTCAATTGTCGTCATGGCGCCCGTATCACTCCGAACCATCCTGCACAGTCCGAGCCAATCGGGACGCCTGGCCAAATGGGCAGTAGAACTCAGCGAGTATGACATCGAATACAGGAACAAAACATGCGCGAAATCTCAAGTCCTGGCCGATTTTATCATCGAGCTACCAACAGAGAACGTCCGAGAAGAGTCCCCCAACGCTGTTTGGATCCTCCATGTCGACGGCTCATCTTCAAAACAAGGCTCTGGCGTCGGAATCCGCCTAGCATCGCCAGAGGGTGAAATTCTTGAACAATCCTTTCGGCTAAATTTCGACGCGACTAACAACGTGGCTGAGTATGAAGCGTTGATAGCAGGACTT